TGCATGGGACAAGATCTGTCAGCCTAGAGCTACTAGAGGTTTGAATGTTATAAACATGAAGATATGGACTAAAGCAGCACCGTTGAAACATCTCTGGGCATTGGCAATGAAGAAAGATACATTGTGGATCAAATGGGCACACAATTATTATATAAAGAATAGAGATATTGCAGAAATGAACACACCCAAAGCAGCAGCATGGGTGGTCAGGAAGATCATTGAGGCAAGAGAAGATGTGAAGCAGATGAGGCCGGGCCAGAACAACCTTATATCTACACTGGAGAGCTTAGTAAAGAAAGGCAAGTTCCAAATACATAAAGCTTATGTTCAGATGCAGCCTCAATTTCCAAAAGTTACTTGGAAAAGCCTTCATCTTCATACACATATTCATCCTAGATTCAAATTTCATCTATCGCTGGCTATTCATAAGAGGATAGCAACTGTGGATAGACTCATGAAATTTGGGAATACAAGTTCCATTAGAATGTGTGTTCTGTGCTAATAACATGGAAACTTTTGAGCATTTATACTTTGGCTGTCCAAAAACTAACAAACTATGGGACAGAGTATTGAAATGGCTTGGCATTGCAAGGCAGATAGGAAGCTGGCAGAATGAGCTGAACTAGATGAGCAGCTTGGCAAGTAGGAAAAATGGTAAAGCAGAAATGACTACAGCAATTTTTGCGATGGTTGTCTACTGCATTTGGCGCGAAAGGAACTCGATTAGATTCAACAAGGCAGATATAACATGGATGATCTATTCAAGGAAATTGCTATACATATACACATACAAGGGAGGAAAAAGACCAAATGGCAAAAAGAATTGGAGAGTTTAAACAATTTTCCTTAGTATAGTTATAGTTTTGAAGTAGTGTAGTCACAATGTTATGCTTGTAAATAGTGAATAGGAGATTAATGGTTAGTATTAATCTGGATATGTAATGACAGTTTTTTTTGATGAAATAAAATGTTAGTTTTATCAACAAAAAAAAGAAAATCGATTAAAAGTAAGAGAACCTTAAAGAAAATTAGTGATGAACTCAGAGCCGCTGTAGATCTTCAAAGATCTGAACCGATTCAAGTCCAAACATTAGGTTTTGAAGAAAAAGAAAGGGTAAAGGGAAATTTGGTCTTGAACCAGAGATTTGAACCGTAAAACATCGATAAAAAAGCACTCACAGGCCATCGACGGACTTTCAGAGGGTCTTGCACAAGATTTGGACTAGATCTCTTCGAGATCTTTCCATGAAATCACAAAAACGAGCAACCAGGATACGTAGAAGACAAGTAGAAGTCTCAAACAGCCATGGGAATCCATGGATCGAGTGGGAATCAGAGGGATTAGGGCTGGTTTTGGGTGGCGGCAGCTAGGGTTAAGTTTAGGTCTCAGAGAGAGAACTGAAGAGATGAGGGAACGAGGGCGGCAGAGTGTGGTGAGAATGAGCTAGGTTAGAGGGGGGTTGTTTGGAATTAAAAAGGTAAGAAGTGATCATGGCCGTTGATCTCTGTGATCAACGGCCAGGATTTAGAGGGTTTGGGGCCGGGTTTAATTTGATTTGGGCCTGGGGTGAATTGGGTTGGTATTATTAAGAGGTCTAGGCTGGTATTAAAAGGGTTAGGCCCGAAAAATTAGAGAAATTAAAAGGCTATTTGTTAAATACCCAAGTAATTGAATAAAAATTATTTTATAAAATAATTAACAATGAGAAAAAAATAATTTTCATGCATAGAAGTGCTTTAAAATAATTATTCAATATTTTAAAAAATATAATTGACCAATTTCTGGTAAAATAATGTGGTGATGTATACGTGGGCTATAATTGCAAAATTAGTGCAATTGTAATCAAAAGGTGTAAATCTGGCCATTTGTGAAATAAATTGAACTTAATATAACCATAAATAGCAATATTAAGTCATGAAATACTATAAAGCCATTTGTGATGCAATTTGTAATTATTTATGTAAATAAATACTAGGATAAAATTAATTTAAAATATATATAAATTGTGGAAAAATACCAATTGATGTTAATGCATAGTTTTGAAAGTATATATGTACTTTAAAAATATTATAGGCAGAAATTAGGTATCAACAACGGCTGGACATAAAAGCTAAGGGATGGGATTTTGGTCTCATTTTCATAACTTTGAACCCTAGACTCGATAAGAGGCGATTGTGTGGAGAGATTTTCATAACAAACTATTGGGTAAGTGATTTTAAGCAGTTTTTAATTATATTTCATGATTATGTACAGGATTTAACATCAAATTCATGAGAATCTAAGAGAAATTTTGGGGATTTTTGTCAAAGTTTTGAAAAATGAAGATTGGAGTTTTGAGAGTTGATTTGGACTCGAATTTCAAAATAAAATACATATATGGACTCGTGCGATTATGGGTAGTCAAGACCTACCCTTAGACCCAGGTTTTGACCGGGCGGGCCCGGGATTGACATTTTGGTAATTTTATAAAGATCATAGCTTTATTAAATGGAATTGGTTTCTCTTGCATTGTTTGATATTATTAAATCGTTTTGGCTAGATTTGAGCCGAGCGGAGGTGAATTTTGAAGGAAAAACTATTTTGAGTATTGATTTGGCCTAATTGAAGTAAGTGTCTTGCCTAACTTTGTTGGATAAAATTTTTCTATTAATTCATATTATTGCTACATGCGGGGATGATTCATATATGAGGTGACGAGCATATATGCATGTGTCGGGATTAATCATGCTCGGGGATAGATTACACGATTATTTGTGCCTTGTTAGAATATGTGACCTTCTTGCTTCATGTTTTACTTGATTTTCTAGATTTATTTGAATATGAAGTTAAATGAAAGAAACCACGATGTATCTTATTAAAACTTGATTGCAATTTGATAAATTTTTGTGAAACTATTACTGTGCTAAATTCGATCATCGCTATACTTAATCACAAATTACGACCATTATTCTAAAGATATTGGATTCTATACTTGAGTTGAAGATCATTCATTTTTTAGATTGGTTGAAGTAATTCAAATATAAGGTTCTTGAGGTTTGTCGATTTGTTATTGGCTTGAAAGTTATGATTTATGTTCATTTGGAATATTCGCTTAATCACTCTCCTTGATATTATTTATGTTTCCTACCTTGTTTGTTATTGTTATACATGTGCTTGGCGAGGAAGAGCGTAAAGCAAGAAGGGTGATGTCGTGCCATTGCATACATATTATCCTGTGAGGAAGAGTGTAAAGCACGTATGGTGATGTTGTGCCATTTCATTTACATTACCTTGTGAGGATGAGAGTAAAAGCAAGAAGTGTGATGCTGTGCTATTTTATTTACATTATCATGTGATGATGAGAGTAAAAGCACGAAGGATTATGTCGTGCCATTTCATTTACCTTATCATGTTTTTATATTATCATGTGTTCATGGTACGAAGGGTGCTTCCGTGCAGGCTAGGACGAGAGACATGCATTGTGTTGTGATATCTTTTCCTTGTGTATACATTCATACCTTTACCTTGAGATGTTACTGTTGCACCTATATTTTCTATGTGACTTGTCGTTATTGTTTTGTCTTTGTCCTCTATCTCAATTGTTGATGTGTTATCCATGCCTTCTATCTGTTTAACTTACAAATATCATGCTTTCCTTCTTGTTGTCATATCTACATCCATGTTGTTTCTCATTTGTTGAACTTTCGTATATGCCTTCTACCATGTTAGTTATTCATGCCTTCTATTTGTTTAGCTTATAAAGATCATACTTTCCTTCATGTTTGTTATATCTATATCTAAGACTTCTACCATGTTAGCTAGTGAAATTTATATTCTTCTACCGTAAATGCTATCATTACTTCTATGCCTCCTATCTAGTCTGTTACCATTACCCATATGCACTGTATTGTTTGTTATTGCTACATGTATATCTCCACTTTATCGTTATTGTTATTGGCATTTCTTTCACTTGGTTGGTATTGTTATGCGTATGCTCGGTGAGGAAGAGATAAATGCACGAAGGGTATTGCCGTGCCAATTGATTTGACCTACATTCATATATTTGATGAAATAAATGCACGAAGGGTGTTGTGGTGCCATTTGATTTGATATCTTGAGTACATTTCTCACATTATGAAAGTTTATGAATTTACTGCTATGATTTCTTCTAGTAACTATTTACTGCCTCGCACAGTTGCTTTCTTGTAGTCTTATCTGTTATGTTCTAGAATTGTTTCTATCGCTAGTCTACTGCATATGTTATAACAGTGGGTATATTTTAACTAAAAAGCTTCGTCACTACTTTAACGAGATTAGACAATATACTTACTAGGTACAATGGGTCGGTTGTACTCATACTATACTTCTGCACCTTTCGTGCAGATTTTGGAGTTGGAGTCGTTGTGTATGGCAGAGCTGGCATTGAACATGTACTTGCGTTCCGGTTATAGCCGACACTTGTCCTTGCTTTAGATTTTATTAATCTGTTTATGTAAATTTCAAACAGATGATGTATTTATTTCGTACCAGCTTTTGTAGATTTTAAGTCTTAAAAGCACATGATTGTACTACAAGTCCTTGGGATTTGTATAGAAAGTTCAATTATTTTACCCATTGTCTCTTATTGCTTTATTTGAGTTGTGTTGACTGTATTTGGCTTACCTAGCGGGTCGAGTTAGGTATCATCACGACTAGGCAGATTTTCGGTCGTGACAACCTCCTATAACAAGAGTTATATACTCTGACTAAAAGAACATTTGTGTTAAGCCATAAATCGATCTCTATAAGGAGAGAAAATGATCTCCTCCTATGACTAGTTACAATTTGAATAAAAGAAAATAATCACAAAAATATGTTATGTTTTATTTATCAATCTCTTGCATTACTATATTTTACCAATTACCCGTGGAAAAGGACCATAAAATCAAAATAACAGTTATAATGGAATATAAAAGTATAAAACCAATCTCCGGTCCTCTTATTGTTAACGTTAGTATTATTGTTACTTCGTTAACAATGTTCACGTTCCCTTTAGCTTAGGGCTATTATTTAGTTTAGGACCAAAAGATCCCTTCTTTTTTTTTACAACCATGAAGTATAGCTTATGTTCAGTGTTTAACATTAACGACCAAAATGCATTTTGCCCAATACATTAGGGACTATTTTTTTCTTTTAATTTATGAATTCAATCAACTGGTTGCGGAAGCCGATCGGTTATTAGTTACAACCCCTTTGTGACTTGTAAACGAGGATCCGACTGACCCGAAGCCCATTTCTTTCCCCAAATTCAGTTTAATACTTTTCCTTGTCGTTTTTATTTTCCTGCTTCGGCAATTACGAAGATTTGAACGGTTAATGGGAGCTCTGCAACTTGCGAACAAGGTGATTCATCCGCTTTTGCCTCTCTCGCGGCACAGAGACACTAACGGAAACTGAAGGTTCTAAAAAAATCTAATCTTTTTCCTTTCTATTTGTATTTCAACTTTATACTGTTGTCATTTGAATCAATTGAGAAATTGGAGAATTAGGAACTTGAGAAGCTTCAATTTTGATATTCGCCTATCGTTAAATTCATTTCTAGAATATCTCTATATGTATCTGTGTGCATGTGTATAAATTTTGAAATTAGAGCAGTAAAGCATTTAAGTAGTTAGTTCTTCGGCTTTTTACAGAAGCAGCTTATGGTATGGATTTTGTGTAGCGACAACTGAGACGTGTTTTACCATTTTTATCCGAGTTCTTATGTTATTTATAATGCTAAACATGTGAAAGGATCCAGCTTTATTTACTTTCATACTCTTCCAAGCTAAATGGTCATATACTCATGTTCCTTTCTTTTGTTGTCCCAATTACTTTTTGCCTTCCCGAGAGGGGGTTGAGAACTTTTTTATGGCAGTAATGTCTTGGTCAGCTTGCGTGAACCTCGACACCTGGTACCTGCTATCTCCCGCCAGTACAGGTACCGAGTAACTCTGTCCACCGAGGCTTGGGAAAATAGGAAGATATCACCTAGTGTTTTTTGCTTAAGCTGGGAATTGAACCCATGACCTCATGATTTTCCTCCCACTTTATTGACCACTTGGACACACCCTTTATTGCTTGAGAACATATTATTTTGAACTTTTTTCTGTTTGCCATGTTATCTTTTTCTTTGTTCAATATGTACTTGAATGTTTTATGCATATAAGTATAATGGATAGCCATTGCAATATGTCTTGACTTAGACGAGCAGACTAGGATCTTATGCTATGGTGAGTAGTGACCAGCATTTCTATCTTGTATCTAGTGCTAGGACTAGTATGGTAGAGACGCTCACAATTTATTTTACCCTTATAATATTCCTTGATTTAACATTAAAAAGATGTATCCAGTTCTGATTTTCAGTGGTCATACTAAATTAAGGCACAAACTTCAGTTTTGAGAAGAAAGGACTAGTGTAGAAGTATGATTTAATTAGTTGAAACATAATGTCATTTTATAGTGTTTCTTTCTTTCCCTAAATCTCATAATTCACTGATTACAAGGTTGATTAAACTTATAGAGGTGAGTATTTACTATTTAGTGAATGAAAGGAAGCTATTGCAGAAATAGCACTGGTAGGACGAGGAGGAAAGCTTCGACCCAAGAAGCTGTAGTATTATGTATTGTTTTATTGTTTTTATTTAAACCTATATCTATATGCCAGCTCGGATTGTTAGGTTTGAGTTTTCTAGTAAATACTCACTGATTTGCACAATTTTATGTTACAAGTTTCAGTTTTTGAATAGGCTTTGATGGGGGAGCTGGCATCTTAAGAAATCAAGAGAAAGTAGTTATATCCTATTTTCGCTTGCTCAAGGAATTCTTTGATTATGTTTACCTGTCATGTTTTGCTCTTCCTCAACAAAGCCTCCATGTATTTTGGCCTTGTTTGAGGCCTTTAGATAAAGTTTTATTATATATCCAGTTGGAAAAAAATATCATGAACGAATGTCATTTGGATATTGAGTTAATGGGTGCAAGCATCTAATATAATTGTTACTTTTGTCAGTATTATGAATTCATCGCACTGTCATCCTCTATCTCTATGTCAAACAGCTTCATGAGCAAAGTATGAGGTAGCTGGGAATTGACTTAGCGATTATGGTTTCTGAAGCACTGCAACAGACTTTCATGGCTACCAAGCATTCCTGTACATCAACTCTACCGTGGATTTGGGTGATTGAAGCACTAGCAAGCTTCAATGAAATAGATACATCTTTACTCATCAGTATGTGTGAATTTGCAATTGCTTTATTTCGTAGAAGCTGTTGTTAAATTGTGGGCATCGGAATTGTTTGACATTAATAGTTCATGCATAACAGATTTGGTTAAGAAGAGTCCTGAAATTTCCGATGATCTGGGGAGAAATGCTAGGGAAATGGTTTCCTTGAGAGTTCTAGAGAGCTTATTTGTCCAGAGAATCCCCAATGCAAATAATGTTGCTTCAGTTCCAGGTGCCAATATTGAACTTGATCCATCAAACAGCTGTGAAGATGTCCTTCGCCGCATATTGTTGGAGGTAATGAATTCTGTCTTTTACTTATCTAGGGTGGACTATTTGATTCAGTTATTTGAAGGATCTAAGCAAGGGACCCATTTACAAGGGAAATGGTCTCCTTTAGTGTTTTAAGTACTCCTGTTTTACACATGCTTAGTTGTGTATTTGCATGTAAATATCACTAGGCTTCTGCATCAGATTTAAAAACAGCAGCGCCTGAGATGTTGAAATGGGATGTTCGGTCATTCATTATGAAAAAGAGATCTCTCCTGCCGAAGTGTCTTTTGAAACAAGTAAGCTAGTTTAAAATGTTTTGAATTTGAGAAGTTGGAACATATTGAAAAATATCTCTCTTATTATCTGGTATTTACTTTATTTTCTGTTGGTAAACAGCTTAAAGATAGCATTGTAGATTCTACCAGTCCTCTTTCTGGATCCTTGAAAGAAAGAAGTCGATTGGAGTTCGGGAATAACTCCAGAAGTGTTCCAGTTGATGCTGTTGATTCTGATGGCTTTAAGCAGGGACATGAAGTAGGAGGCACAAATACCCAACATGTTGCACCAACTAGGAACTCGGATGCTTTTACCCCGGCCGATAAAAATACAACAACATACCCAGTATATTCCCACAGTGTGGGGTCTGAAAAGGGTAATGTATACGCAGACCTTAACCCTACCTTGTCGAGGACCCGGGCCGAAAAAAATGGCAAGCAAATAAGTCAGCTTGGAAGCGCTCTGGTGCGTGCGAAGAGGAGTATCGATGCCTCCACTGCTCATGAAGTAGAAGTCAATGAAACTGGAGCCATATCAGAGAACAGTTCTGATCCTTGTGCTAAGGCTGCCAAGAAGTTTAAGCAGTTTGTCTTTAGTCCCATTCGGAACACAGTTCCTGATTTGCTATTGTCTGGGAGAGATGCATTCCCAGCAGAATCATCTGGAGGAAGTCAACCTATTGTTCAAAACGGGGACTCGAAAGATGAAGCTCAAGTTGGGGCCTTCGAAGCAAATGGAGGCCTGAGTAATGGTTGTGCTGAGCATGCTGCATCAAGAAGTGGTTTACATGGAAGTGACTCTAATCACAACGAGCTGTTGCCTCAAAGAATGAGCACAGACAAAAAGTTCCAAAATATTGGACGTAGCAGCAATGGTTGTGCTGAACTTGGAACATCCAGTGGCTCATGTCAGCTGGTGATGCAACAAGAATCTCGCACTCATGGATCCAAACATGACCTGGAGTTTAATCTTCCACAAGATTTGCAACATGGTGAGCCTTCTAAAGTAGCCAAAGAGAATATTGAGCAAAGTCATGAATTTGAGTTCTCTAGTGATACTGATGAGTATCACGATGAGAGCACTGCTCTTGCTACACAGAAGAATGATTTCTTGAGCTCGCAATATGCTCAGGGTGAAGATTCTTTGGCAGATGCTGATTGTAGTGAGCTTAATCTTTGTGTGAAGTGTAATGTAGGGGGGAAATTATTTGTCTGTAATTCTGACACCTGCCCGTTAATGGTTCATGAAAGTTGCTTGGGTTCTGTACCCAACTTTGATTACAAAGGGAACTTCTACTGCCCCTTTTGTGCATATTCTCGAGCAATTTCAGAATACCTGGACAGTAAGAAGAAGGTCTCACTTGCTAGGAAACATTTGGCTGCATTTATTGGCTTGGGAGCTGGACAACAATCAAAGAAGTCACTAGCTAAGTCACAAGGAACGAAGCCGCATCAATCTCGAGAGGATAAGAATGAGCAATTATGCCACAATGAGAATGGGAGGAGTTCCTTGAATGAGATTACAGAAGCAGGAAGTGCTCCAGTCGACAGGAATTCGGTTGGAGTTCAGATCATGCAGACGGGTTCACCTCAACTAGAGGCTTCTGTCCCTGAACAATGCTTGGTAGCTGGTCAACAACCTGAAGGATCAGAACTTAGAGGTGATAGATCTAAGCAGAATCAGTCCAGAGTGGAAGAAGAGTTGTGTCATATTGGGAATGGAAACAAGAATTCTTTGAAGAAGGCTGAAGAAGCGGGAAGTGGTCCAGTCAATAGAAATTCTATGAATGCCGAACTCATGCAGATGCATCCATCTCAACCACCTGTTTCTCATGAACCTGTGTGTCAAGGAAGTTCTTCTATAGAAGAAAATTCTGAAGAAGATGAGATTGGTTCCAGATATCGTGTACAATTTAGGAATCCAGAGAAGAATCAGTAAGTCTTTTGCAGTTCCCAAAGTATGCAAATCATATGGTCACTCCATGCATTCTTTCAAATCTGTCATCCATTTTTACTTGTATTTTCCGGTGTCTGCATTTTTTGTTTTCCCGTCTCTTTTTGCATTGAATCAAAGCATCTTGTTAATCATTATTATCAGGCACGTGATTGTTTTTTAGTTATGACTTCTATCTCTGATTGTTTGCTGTTCATTTTTATTTGCAGTACCTTTCCTATAACACCTCAATTGAGGAGGAAGAAGGTCCAATGGACAAAGATAGAGGAGGAAACATTAAAGGTACATGCATCTTCTTTCTGTCATAATTTTGCTTATTTTCTGCTCATGCTAGTTCTCTCCTTGAAAAGCTGGTGAGAAGGCACCCGAGTTATTCTAATATAAGGGGGATTCACCTCTTTTTCTCTGTGCGCGCGCGTGTGTGTGGCATATATACAGATATTACTTCTTCAAAGGAAAGGTCCCATTCTCTAGATTAGTAGGATAATAAGGGGTTCTTTTTGTTGGTTTTACCTGAGTGTTGGAGGAATGTACATGCAGCTATGCTTTGCCTTTCGTGTTGCATATATTAGGAAAAACATCAGTTTTAGTGAATTACTGTAGTCAGTAGTTTATCCGTTGGCTATCTTTTGGTACTATTCTTTGCCATTGCTGCTGCAGGAGGGAGTAGAAAGATTCTCACATTTTCCTGATAGATGGAAGAAGATTTTGGAATTTGGATGTGATGTTTTCCTGAAAGGTCGGACCACTGGGGACCTTAAAGATAAGTGGAGGAACATGAGCAGAGCAAGGGAGAGAGCAACGTAAAGGTTTTTTTTTCTTTTCAAAATGGACTCTGTATAGGTGTATAGTTGCCTAATAGTTTCGGCTGCTTAAATTGAACAACGGACTGTTTTTAATAACTCAATTATTGCTTAGCTACAGCCATGCCACAACAATGCTTTGCTAATTAACCTCATTATCTACCTTGAATGGAGAAGGGGGCGGGGGTTCCAGATGTTAGCGTAGATTTTGGTGCTTGTGGAGTTCTTTTAGATGAAGAAGCCAAAATGATTTTCTCATTATATGATATGATGCTAAGCTGAAGGTGTGATAGTAAGAGACTCAATTGTATCTGTGTATTGAGGGCTAAGAATAGCTCCTTGTTGTAACCCTTTTTCGTGTAAATTGGACTCGGGTAGATGACTGTAGTACCCTGTTACGGATCATTGAATCTTTTGTATAGATAGCTAGGGTCTTTTCTGTTCTTTTGCTATCTTTTTGGATGTAATCACAACACTTTGTTTTTGACATCAATAATGCTTCCAAAAAAATATTTAACATCGTGCTCGTAGATTTCTGAAGCTGTTATTACAACCTTGTTTAGCATGTTCAACAATTTGTATGAAGCCAACAATGTTAAACTGGTCTGGATACCACTATAATATGAAATAAAATCTTCACTTTATTTCTTTGAAGTAACGAATATGGACTATTGCAGATTAAGCACTCAACTAGTAGTGATCATGTGTAGTGAAATTAGAAACTGAGTCACGTACCATGAAGTTTGAACGAGATAATTACTAAATGACACTAAAAGAAGTTAACCATAAGTTCAATTCAAAGATAGAAGACAAGAAAGAATAAACATAGTGAAAAGGAATAATAACACAATTGTATCCAAGAGGTGCCCTTGTCATATCTTATAAAGGCTTTAATTTAACAGAATTGTCAACACAACCATGTCGAATTTGTAACTCTATGTTTGTCGTATTCGTATATATCATCTGCAGTTTCTTTTACACGTATCTACTACATGCATGACAAAACAATAAAGTGTAATCTTTTTTTTTTTTTTTTTAAAAAGAAAAAGAATGCTGGTAAGCTGACATTGTATTATCATGGTGATGCTGAATGGCAGTGTCACGCTGTCATGAAATGGCGAGAATGCAAAGGGGAACATAAGCCCGTGTTCCTCCTTTTATTACTGTCACAGGTAAACTACTACATATTACTACTAGTCTACTTCAACTAGTTCTTATTCTGTCTACCGTGGTTGTCAACTTGTAGTCCATTTACTGGATCAGATCAATCCCTTGCAGAGACGGATCTAGAATTTTAAGTTTATGGGTTCCTACAAAAATCTCAAGTTAATATACAATGATAACTGGATTAACGGACTAAATTCCAACCTAAATCCATTTAATGGATTTTTCAATTCAAATACACGATTCAAACAAAAATTACTGGGTTCATGGGAACTCGTAACTATTGCACTGGATCAGCCCTGATTCCTTGCCCTTTTCTTCTCCTCGAAAACAATGGCGAAGCCAAGAAATTTGACAAAGATTAAAAAAAAGTACAAGAGTGCCACTCGTCATTCATTTACTAGATAGATCAATTCCGTACCCCTCCCTCCGCTCCAAGCGAGCCATGAAATATAATACTTTCAAAAAAGATAAATAAAAAAATGCAAGAATGCCACACCTAAGATTCAAACTTACAATGGACCTAAAACAATTTTTGAGCTATTTTTTTTTTTTTTTGCCACTATATTAGAAGTGTCCCTTATATTAAGTGGATTCCAATTTATATACGTAAAAACAAAATTATTTGTACATTATCGACGAAAGAAATTACTCAATTGAACCCCTTGTCCAACCCCTCTTTGCAGCTGCGTGCACAATTGGTAGAGTTGGATTTTCACAGTGTGCTTCAATTCCCAGCAGTACAGACTACTATCAAGTTGTGTACGTATGCATTGCATGGGATAAAGATGAAGACAAAAAGTCTCGAGAATCAGGCTGTGAATGTCAGGAAAACATGTGAATTAGAGGGCTCGTGAATGTCAAAAATTTTGTGAGGTGCTTTTCTTAATTGCTTAGTAACTCGATCACTGGCTAGTCTTTCTTCTTCTTCTACATCTTCGATCTGTGAATGTCTGTGACTATATGAGAGAAGAGTGTCGAGTAGACCATTAATAGAGAATCCAAGGAAGTGAGGTGTCATTCTGCATTCAAAGCAATTTGTTTTCATGTCTTCAATTCCATGTGCTGATCTTAGTTTAAAAGATCATATATACTAGTTTTAGAGATAGATCCACGATTTGAAGTTTATGAGTTCCTACAGCGATCCCGAGTTAATAAAATAATAATTGAGTTCAGGGTCAACTATTAATTTCTTAATATATAGTATAGAATTTAGACAAAAACTATTGATTTCACGTGAACTCCTAGCTTACATGTCTCAAGAATGAGGCTTTCATCATATTATTTTGTTTGCTGATTTACCTTTTATCACATACCCTTTTGTTTTCTTTTTCTTAACTATTAAAGAGTAAGGGAAAAGAATCTTAATTATTTGAAGCGGTTTTAATTAAATAGATTTACTTGTTTAGTCACGAGCACAAGCGACACAGCAGCGCCTAATGTTACCCATTACGATATAAGGGATGCGAAGCTGATCGAGGACTTATAATTTATGGGTCGTCCTATGAGCTCAAGTACAAAGTAATAATTAAATTCGTAATCAAATATTTATGCATATTTACTAGATTTTTTAATACATATTTTATATTACGCTAGATCGGTAGATCCGCCTATGAATTAAGGGATGGGAATTTTTAGACAAACTATGATTAAAATTAGTTGTAAGAGGACTGCATGCATGGAAGCATTTGATCCAATTATAATTAATTCCGAGAATGGCGGTATGCATTCCATTACTAATTAACCAACTGGTCTCGATACCAGGAGAGCCTATAAAAGTGAATGTGCAAATCTTATTTTCATCTATTTAATAAATGCATGCATGCCTACTATATATGTTGCATTACACAATTAATCCATTGGCTTATGAATCATGCATTACTTTATATAAAGAAAGAAAAATCCAGAAACAAAGCAGTAGCAGTAGCAGCTATAAATAAAAGATGAAAAAGGAAAATAAACAATGAAAGAAAATTTAGAACTAAGAATAATGTGACTTGACATTATATTCAGCGTAGACTACGTACTTAGACCAACGGTCACATGAAGCTCTTATAATACTTTCTATAAACGTGAAAACATTTAAATCAAACTACAAATTCTACCTATACATATCCCCCGCGCCTTCCACTCCCTCCTCACACTCAACACTAAGCAAAAATACACTTTTCACTTCTCTTCACTAAGCTGACTTCTCTCTGTATTGATGTCTCTTCCCGATGACACTACGTTAACTTTCTTGTAATTGTCACTCTTACTAATAAAAGTCGTGATCGACATTGGTTTTCTAGTGCGGTACTGATAATCCAGAGTCTAGCACAGTAAGTAGGCTTTTGGTTGGCAGAAAGTAATCACACAGACGTCGGTTGCTTTGCATCCTGCCATGGACAACTACAAAAGAAATCCACTAAAACCATGGAAGAAGGGCCCAGCAAGAGGAAAAGGGGGCCCACAAAATGCATTATGCGAATATCGAGGCGTTCGACAAAGAACATGGGGCAAATGGGTGGCAGAAATCAGAGAGCCTAAGAAGAGAACTAGGCTCTGGTTAGGATCTTTTGCAACAGCTGAAGAAGCTGCTATGGCTTATGATGAAGCAGCTAGGCGATTATATGGTCCTGATGCTTACCTTAATTTACCACACATGAGAGCTAATTTCAATCCATTAAATAAATCACAAAAGTTCAAATGGTTTTCCTCAACCAACTTTGTTTCATCATTCCCTAATTGTACTACTGGTTTGCTCAACTTAAGTGCTCAACCTAATGTTCATGTAATTCACCAAAGACTTCAAGAACTCAAGAAAATGGAAGCATCATCTTCAAGTTCATCAATCAGTGATCCCAAGAATGAAATATATAACTTTACTAAACAACCCCATTTGACAATTCCACAAACCAAGGAGAAAGAAGTTGAATTTTCGTCACAAAACAAATCAGTAGTTCAAGAAAAGCCTCAGATTGATCTGAATGAATTTCTTCAACAACTTGGAATATTGAAAAGAGATGATGATAAGGAAGATAAAAGTCATGATCATAGCATTAGTTGTTTTACAGAGTCAGAAGTTTCATTGAAAGATGATAGTTCAGTTGCTAATTTCTTTGCTGATGCAAGTTACAATTGGGATACATTGGGTGCAATAACAGGGATAGATGATCATGATCAGGCAGAAGAGACTAGTAGCTTTATTGATGCTTATAATGTGAATGATGAGCTTATGTTTCCTTCTTCAATATGGAACTTCTGAAAAAAATTGAGTTATTTTTGCAGACACCAGGGAAATCTCCTTTTCTGTATGGGTGCATGGGATTGAGAAGACTAATGTATAATGGATTAAGAGGATATTGTCTGATGTTAGTAGAAGATAGGTATAGACATATTGCACTAATATTATTATACCTACTAAAACTCTCATTGACAGTAATTTTTAAAAGATTTTATATTATATACATGGATCGTACAAAGAACTTTTTTACATGATCAGCGTTATTTAATCGATTATAAACGGCTATTTATTGAACTTCTAGGTTATTAAATTCACTTACTAATGGACAGTTTGGTGCACAAAGCATCCCGTGTTTACGCAGGGCTGGGGAAAGGGTCGCATTCCAGGAGGTGTGATGTAGGCAGTTTACCCTGATACAAGCATGAGTGGCTGATTCTACGGTTCAAACCCGTGACATAAAGGTTACACGAAAACAACATTATTAACTTCGCTTACTATAAAGAATTATATGTTATTGCATGTTATCTTAACGATATAATAATACGGTATTAAAGTATAGAAGTTAAAGTCTTTTGAAATGGAGCCTGCCCACAGGTTTGTAAAACAATTGCTAACGCATGAAGAAAGAGAAGCAATAGAATTCCTCATGGGTGCAATCAATGTGAGCCAATTACAAACATAATTTATTTTGAGATTTTTACATGCTTGGTCCCTTTCAAAAAATTATTCTCATAAATGATAGTAGGCTTTGTTTATTTCAAAAATAGCACATTTTTTTATTTTTTTAGCACTTTCACATTGATAATTCCATTAACTAAGGGATCCCTCTACATTAACACATTTTTTACTATATTTCTTTTTCTCTCGCTCTTATATAATTTCTTTGTTCTCTTCCATAAATAACACTTACCAAATATATCAAAGATTCTAAAAGAGAATATCTCAAAAATAATTCCCTCTGCACAATGAGAATTTCAATATTTTTTTCTTTTTTGAGTTTTAAACTTTTTTCTGTTCAATTTTATTTTAACTCAAAATATACCTTTAATATATTTCAAATATATTATATTGTGATAATTTACAATGTAAATATTCCATCAATATGTCATATATATATATATTTTATATG